CCCAGCGCCTCCGGTTCGCCCAGCTTGAAGATGAGCGGCTGCCAGGCCCTCCCTCCCAGCCACGGGGCCACCAGGGAGATGCAGGCGAGCCCGTCCAACCTGCCCTTGGGTGGGTACCCGAAGCCACCGTCACTGGATGCTCCTCTGGCCTCCAGGGCTGATTCCCCCCCTGGCCATTTCCACCTCCCTTAGGAGACATCTCTGCTCCCTGGGGTGCCCTCAGGGCGTAGAAGCCCCCTCGTTGCCCTGTGTCACCCTGTAGGCTGGGACAGCTCGCTGGGGTGGGCCCTGGCGCTGGCTTGGGGTGCTGAGGGACGCCCCATTTTGTCACCAGGGTTCCTGGGCGAAGGCGACGCGATCACCAAAGCAATCCAGGACGCACGGCAGCTGCTGCATGGCCACAGCGCAGCCATGGAGGGGAGCCTGAGCAACCCCTACCGAAAGGTGAGCGCCTTATCCCACCAGGAATGGCCACGCTCAGCATCCCCATCCACAGGCACATTCCCATCTTGGCACCTGCACACAGCTCCGAGCTGCCCCGGCCGGTGGTAGATGCTCCTCTGCTCTCTTGCAGGACCATGTTGGGATCGATTCTTCCCCAGGAAAGGAGCGGATGGAGGAGACCCCTGCCCATAGGCTGGACGAGGCCCTGTTGACCTGCGAGATGGATGGTAAGGGTCCAGCCGGGGCCAGTTTCTTTTGCTAAAAGCTCCAGGAACCCAGAACTCATGAAAGTCAACAGGTTTGCAGCCCTTCTTGTTGCTGGCCCCAAGATAGCCCTGTGGGGATGCTAAGATACCTGCAGGATTTGAAGGTCTGTGGAAGAAGCCAGCACTGCACATGACTGAAAGGCTTCAAGTTCTCACTCTGCATCGCAGGCTGCTGTTTGCTCCTTCCTCTTGGTGTCCACATTTTGTCCTTGGTCTCAACATCTCTCTCTGTCTCTTCCTTTGCAGGCTCGCGGCACTTCCCCGAGTCCAGAAACAACAACCACATAAAGCGGCCCATGAACGCCTTCATGGTGTGGGCGAAGGACGAGAGGCGGAAGATTTTGCAGGCCTTCCCGGACATGCACAACTCCAGCATCAGCAAGATCCTCGGTAAGTGTTCCCGAGCTTCCCTTGCTGCTCTTGTTGGGGACGGGGAGGCACAGGCGAGGCCAGGGCTCCGCTCCTGCTTCCAGGGCTCCGAGGGGTGACGGGAAGGAGAAGGTGTCACGTCCAGGCAACACATTCCTGCCCTGGGAGCACGTGGCCTCGTGCGCAAGCAGGGCTTGGGTGACCCCCTCCAGCTCCCCCCACAAAACGAGGCCCTTCGGGGCAGATTCCTCCTTTGGCCGAGAACCCCCTGGCCAAAGTCCCGAGCCCAGCACTTTCCAACCCAGCAGACTTTTCCCCTCGCTGAAATCCTCACATTTGAACCAGAGCCCTTCCAAGCACTCTCCTAGGATGCCCTTTCCCACAGAGCTCTTGGAAGTTCTAGCCTCGATATTTGTCGCCATCCTCTTCCCCCTGTCCCCAAAGCCCTGCAGCTGCAGGACGCTGCTGTCGCCTGCTTCAGCCTCATGTCCCCTCCACTCTTGGGTCTTCTCCAGCTGCTCGCTGGCCCATCTACCTGCTGTGACCTGGGTTTTTTGGCCCGTGCGAGCGACCGCAACGGCGCAGGCCCCGTCTGGTCGTGTCTTGCACCCTTCTGACGCTGGTGGTTCAGCAAGGGCTCTGTCACAGCAGCCCTTTCCCTCGGCTGTGGTCATGCAGAGGGGGACCGTTTCACCCTGGCCTCACGCAACCCCTCTAGCTATTAAAAGAGAAGCCGTGTGGTCTCCGAAAAGCCCGTCCGAAGGGCTGGGAGCGAGCGCGCAGCAGCCGGGGTTTTGTGGGTTACCTTGAGCAGAGGCACCTCGCTCAACCTTGGACTCATTTCAGCAGCTCCGCTATTTAAAGACGAGGCGAAACAAGCCCCGGCCTTTTCCCTTCGCACGGTGCTGGCGGGATGCGCTCTGTGTGCCTCGCGGCCGGGCGATTCGGGAGCAGGTGCTCTGTGGTGCGCGGGCCGCGCTCCTCGGAGGGCTCCGCAGCTGTAAATAGCGAGCGCGGTTCGTGCCTGCGGAGCCCGACTCTCTGCTCAAGGAGTGCAGATTTAGCAGGCGATACCTGCGTGCGAGCGCACCGGGGCTCGCAGGAGGCCAGGACGGGGGGTTCCGGGCTCTGCTTGCACCGTAGCTCCCCAAAAGCCGGGTCTGCACCCAGGCAAGCGGCCAAATGCACCGGGAAAGGAGGCAGCACAGGGAGGTTCCCGAGTGGAGGAGCCCCTGGGGATGCGCGGCCCCTGCTCCCGTACCTTGGGGAGGCCGCAGCAGCGCCAACCCCGCAGATGTGACCCACAGAGGTGACATGGGGAGGTCAGCGGGGACATTGCGAGCATCGGGGTCCCACGTGGCGCATCTCCGGGGCCAGCACCGTTTGCACAGACGGTTCTCGGTGCCCGAGCCCCTGTGCAGCGCATGCGCGCGGCTTGCAGCCCGCTCGCCAGGGCCGGGGGTAAGCGTGCCCGTGGGCGCTCTACGCACAGGCTCGCGGTGGAAGTCCATGACGAACCAGGAGAAGCAGCCCTACTACGAGGAGCAGGCCCGGCTGAGCCGGCAGCACCTGGAGAAATACCCCGACTACAAGTACAAGCCGCGGCCCAAGCGCACGTGCATCGTGGAGGGCAAGCGGCTCCGCGTGGGCGAGTACAAGGCGCTCATGAGGAACCGGCGGCAGGACGCCCGGCAGGGCTACGTGATCGGGTAACGCGCCCCGTCCCGGGCTCTGCGCGCTGCGGCGGGAGCGAGCGCCGTGCCCGCGC